TTCTCAATTGTTTTTATTATTATTATTATTCAAATAAAAAGTCTGAAATTCTCAAGTGTGTCACCCCTCAAAATTTATACATATTCGTTGTCGACGGATCCAAATGTAACAATTCAATCACTTTCCTCACTTCACCATTACTCTCCATAACACTAGTAATTTCATTCTCGAATTCCTCAAGCATAATGTCAACAATAACAATAATATTATGCTATATGTATTTTTTATTTTTTTTTTTTTTTTTTTTTTTTTTTTTTTTTTTTTTTTTTTTTTGCTAAAAATGTTATGTGCATTCAATACTTCACCATTATACAAAACAACCTAATCATATAAATTCTCTACAAAATTCCAAAACATATTTTTAACAATAAAACGAACAATGTCAAATTATCTCACTTATTCTCAAACACAGGACATATTGATTCTTAGCTCTTATAGATACCAAAATTATGCTACATTTTTAGGCACAAGAACGATTTATCATCCTTTGTTAAAAGGAAAAAAAAAAAAAAAAAAAAAGAACGATTGTGTTGTAATTTGGTATGTGAAGGTTTTACTTAAGTATGGTATTCTTTCATCTCTTACTACCGTTGGATTCAAATTTAGTGGTCTATATTATACACTCTACTGATTAGGAGAAAGTACTGCCCCTACCATAGATTTTCTCATAAAATTAAAAGTAAAAAGTTGATAGTAAGTATTTCTTTTTTCGCTTGGAAAATGATAAGACGTTGGTGACAAGTGTTATTAGTTTTTCCTTTTGGTGGGTAAAAGGGTAGTTATACTTTATTTTTCTCTTCATCAAGGGAGGAAAAGTAAAAGGGGTAACAGAAAACGAGTTATGTCATATGAAAGCAACCTTTTAAGTATTAGGGAATTTACTTGAAATAAGAAAGATCTAAAGAAAGCAACTTTTGCTCGAGACACTCTCACGAGTGCTTAGAATCATTCATTTATATTGATTAATTTAACAAATCTCCCCCATTCCCATCGGATTTATGTATGTTTATTTATTAAGATTGAGAAATAGGAGTAGAGAATAAGAGTCAATTTCATATTTATTTACTCTTTTTTATCTTGAAATAAGAATAAAATCGATGAGCTGCACTCAAATTTAAAATTGAGGAATGGATGGAAGATTGTGATTCTCATTCCTAATATTAATATTAAAGTACTATCATACTCCTATTCTACTTATAAATATAAAATTCAAAATAAAATTCAAAAAATAATAATTACAACCTATATATATTATTTTATTTGCCAAAAAAATCATAATATTAACCTATTATTGTTAACTTTAATGTAATAAATAAGTACTTTATTTAATTTAATAAATTAATAGTGTATTTTAATTTTTTAACACTGTTTTTTATTTGTTTTATTTAAATTTTGACAATATATTTTTATATTTTAAACAATCGTATAATTTATAGCTATTATTATATTACCCTATTATTATACTAAATTATTTTAATTATGATTAATTTTAATATATCAGTACACATTTTATTTTTTAAATTAAAAATATAAAATTGCATTAAAGGGTATTAGTACTTTTACATTAGTTCATTTCAATTCTGGGTATAAGTAAACGCATCAATGAGATTTGTATACATGCCTTAAAGTAACTATGATTCTGAATCTTGTCACTATGGGTGTTCGGCGGTTAAAAATCACCAGTTTTGGTCGGTTCGACCATGTAACCAGGAACCAAAACTGAACCGCAAAAAGTACTATTCAGTTCGGTTAACCGATCCTCATTTTTTGGTCGGTTTTTAGTTTTGGTAATCAGGATGGTGACCATCAGTTAACCATCAGGTTACTAGCATCTTTAGTTGCATTTTTTGACCAGAAATTGTGGAAAAATGTAAAATATTCCTTCTATGCAAACATATAATCACAATAAATGAATACAAAGCATAACATCCAAATTGATAATACCACAAACACAAAATATCTAAATCTAATGTCCAAAATCCAAAGTATAAATTAGAAACTAGAAAGTTACAACAAACAATACTAATGTTCAAAGTGTAAAAAACATCTAAATTGGCATAAGAAATTGAGAAGCCCAAAGCATAATTATAAAGCACCTATTCAATTGAGTTAGTTAAGAGTTTAGAGAAATTGATACATTTAAGCTCCTCACGTGTGTCGCGCATATTAATATGTTTAAAGATAGCACGTTCCAAAATTCGGGAGTGAAACTGAAAACGTATCACACATCAAGTGCACGACAGATTTGTTTCAAAATCTGAGAGAATATAGACACAAATAACATAGTTTAGCAGGAATACGTAAAATTTATCATATAAATATAGAAGTTTAGTCACATAAGATTCATATTGAACAATGTTGATAATTATTTTCCTGGTCAGATATTCTTAGACCTTTTAGCCAAGACAACAAAAAAACCTAATTCTTTTAATTTTTTATGAAGGGGAAAAAACTTAGAAGCTATTCTTAGATCATAAAGAAAATAAGACTATTCTAGGAACTCGCAAAATAAAAACAAAAAAAAAAAGACACAAAAAAAGACACAAAATTAGGTTACAAAGAATCGGCGAGGGAATGGGTAAAGGCTTGGTCAACCAATTTCTGCTCATCACTTTGTTTAAGTTTAGAATAAGCTCCGAATATACATGCATGCATATACATTATATATGTGTGTGTATATTAACCTAATTCTTTTAATTTTTTATGAAGGGGAAAAAACTTAGAAGCTATTCTTAGATCATAAAGAAAATAAGACTATTCTAGGAACTCACAAAATAAAAAAAATAAAAAAATAAAAAGACACAAAAAAAGACACAAAATTAGGTTACAAAGAATCGGCGAGGGAATGGGTAAAGGCTTGGTCAACCAATTTCTATTTAAACAAATAAAAAAAAAAAAAAAAGGGGGGGGGGGGGGGGGGGGGGAAGAAATCCACACCTGAAAACCACGTCAGCGAGATACCACGTGTCGTGACCTTCCTCAACTTGATTGGTCTCCACCAATAGCAATAAGCCTCGTAAAGGGATCATACCAAATGTGGGGCCAGGCGTGACCCTCGGATTGACCAGTGCAGTGAGGTACGGCCTCGTTACGGGCATACGGACAAAGCCCCCCAAAATATAAGCCTTTTTTGCAGCTATTAACGAATATATTATATACATATATATATATATATATTTATATTTATATGCGCCTGTATATATACATAACAGCCTCTTTGTAATGTGATAAATGTTTCTCATTGCCACCACCCCAAACATAACCATTCCCATTTTCTTAGCTTGACTTCCCTTCTTTTTCTCTCTCATCCAATCTCTCTCTCTCTGTTCTGGCTCTGTTTTTTTTGTTTTCATGAAGGTTTTTGGCTCTGCAGAGTTGGCAATTATAGTTTCGCATTGTTCCAAGCTCACAACAGAAGACACCCTCAATATTGTTGGATCCTCTTGTTTGGTGTTTTAAAGAATTGGTGAAGATTTTTTTGGAAAAACCCACCAAAGAAAAGGGTAAAAAAAGAGCAAAATAATAATAAAAAAATGTTGCAAGACGTGATTTGTCAGCCGGAGATGCTTCCCATTGTAAATTCTCTTTTCATTATGGCTCTGCAAAATGTGCTTTATTTTATTTATTTTTTGATAAAAATGTGATTTATTTATTTGTTTGTTTAATGTTTGCTTGTTTTTGTTTCATGCATGCAATGATCTGTTTGTGCGTGTTGTTTGTGGTTTGTTTGAGAATTGTCTTTTTGTATCTTTTTCTTTTGTGTGTTTCTGAACTTGGGTTTTTGTTTTGTTTGTCTTTTTTTATTGCATTTTCTTCAGCTTGAAGTATGTGCATGATGTGTGGACTTTGATATGTTTTTTAATCATTGGAAAACATGGGCATGTGTTTGCAAAATTTGTTTCATTCACAATAATTAATCTTGCTAAGTGGGAATGGATTTCCTTTAACTCATTTTCCTTGTCTTCTTTCTCATCCTTTTAGTGTTTAGAACCTTCCCTTCATTTGCTTTTATCATTGAATATCTTGCTTGATTTTGACATGAATTTTCCAATTTTCAAAAACACCCATCTCCCAAATTATATATGTATATATGTATTACTCACAATCTACAAAGTTCCTTCATTTTCATCCCAAATAGAATTTTTGGACCAAATAATTAGCCTTATGACTTATCCAATAAGACCATAACATCACCCCCAATAGAATTTGTGCCATGAATGAGTTTCAATTGGCTTAGGGGTATATTGACTCGTCAAAGAAGAATGTTTCAAACAGTTCCTATCAATTTTTGCCACTATTTGGAAAACTACATACTCATCCCTTATCCCTCATAGCTCTCTCTCTCTCTCTCTCTCTCTCTCTCTCTCTCGTAACAAAGTATGCCCACTAAACAGTGTCGTTTTCCAAGAGCACCAATCACCATCACCATATTAGCAATCAAACACTGGATTTCCTTGATAGCTATTTCAACTCTTCTTTGATTATTGTGGAATAATATGTAGCGTTTTCATGCTTCTGGTATAAGCTGTCTTAATCATGATTCGTTTTCTTGTTCATTTAGATGGGGCTAGTGGGGTGAGGAAGCCTATAGGCAAAGCATTAATTTAAGACGAATAATGAAAAAAATTGGTTCTGTTTTAAGTGCTTCTCAATTCCAAATGTTTGTTCAAACTAGGCCGTTTCTATATAGTGAATAAAAACTGAGCACACCATTGAGTTTTGTTCTTTGTTTGTGCCGTTGAATTTTTGCCAACAATGGGAAACCATGTCCTACATGTCACATGGAGCACAAATTCACATCTTTTTTCTACTTTGTACACAATATTATCCCCCATAAGACAAATCCTTTTTTGGGTAGTTATTTTATGCCTTCAATTGATCAAATATTAGTGGTATTTTCATTTGGCCTGATGGAAAAACCAAACCAAATAACTTAACAAACTAGAATGTCCTTTCATTTTCTCTCTCTTTTCTTCCATGAGGAGGTGAGGAGAGAGAAATATGAAGAATTATGCTTCTCGTTTGCTTAAAGCAAAGGTCATAATAGAACTATTGTTTTAGTTATAAGGATTTTTCTTACACTTATTTTAGTTTAGTATTTTGATGTTATGAACTTTTTCTTTTTTTTTTTCAGGATGAAATTTCCAGCCAAATAAGTGCTCAACTTTTTGAGTTTTGTGATCATGAACTATTCCCTGAGACCCTTCAGAATTCTGATGAGGTCACTTCTTGTTCAAACGGTTGCTATGAAGAGAACTCATCATATCCTGCTGATCTCTCACTACCCCCTGATATAGAAAAGTTCACTACTGCCTACCAGGATACCAATGGCAACACTAACACAACCGCCGTCCCAACCCCGTCCCCCACGACCACTAGCACCGCCATCACCGCCTCTGCCGGCGCCACTAACAATAGTAACAACATCTCCATCATCTTTGATTCACAAGATGACTTGGACAATGACATCTCAGCCTCTATTGACTTTTCCTCATCCCCAACCTTTTCTGTGCCTCCATTAATCCTTGGAACAACACAAGAAGACCAATTTGACTTCTCCTCAGTAGTGCAGCCACAAATTTCTTTAGTAGATTCTGTTGTTGATGGATTTCCACAGTACTCTGCAGCCCCCCTTGCCCCTCTTATCCCGCCCCCGTTACCACCGGTTTTCGAAGAGGACTGCTTGTCTTCAGTGCCTTCCTATTTGCCTATAAACACATCAAGATCTTCTTTTTCCTTTGTTGGTCCTGCCATGGGAACGTACTTGCCTGCTGGGACTATGAATCCTGCTGCCTTATCCGTTAAAGGGCCCGGGATTTTCGGAAGCAGTCTTCTCATGGGTTCTGAGTTGCAGCCACAAGAATTGGATTATCAAGGAGACACTAGTGGAATCTTCTGTACTGATTCACTGCCAAGGGTTTTCAACCCTGGAGAACTTCAGGTACTAACAACTTGCATTTATTTGGTTTGGCAATACTTATTTTCAAACAAACACAGAAAATAACAAATAATTTCATTTTGATGTTTAGGAAGTTGATAAAATATGTGTCAGTTCATAAAGGAGCAAAGTTTTGTAGTTTTTTGACCAAGTTCTGAACCTTAATGTTGGAAAAAGTCATGCAGGTTTGATGAAACTTTAGAAGAATGATTAAGAGAACATTAAAATTTAGAACCTTTTGATTGACCAATCTGTCCATGTGGGCTTAAGCCATAAAGCTTATTTATACACTAACATTGTGATTACATCACTAACTACACAACAAACATGTATGGCCCACTTCACCAGCAAACAAAAGAGTCTTATGGATTAGAATTACGAGATTAGAATCATTTTTGATTTACGTGTATTTTTTATGAGAGAAAAAACTATAACAAACCACGAATCATGATTCAAATTGGGTACGAACCCCCAACCAAATAACTCTTTATTTATTTTATAAGGAAAGCCACTGTAGCAAAAGGTTTGAACCGTGAATCAAACCCAGGAAACAAACGAGCCGAAAAACGAAAATCTTCCCATGCATAGCCCTCTTCACCAAAGCTTCCTTAGTTCCTTTGGCCCACATATATTGCATATAGAGATATTATTAAAGGTCTTTGACAAGTGCACGCACAAAGTTGATGTTAAACTTCAACTCTATGAAGGCCCATAATATGGCTACAATCCACTAAGCTACCAACTTGCTCATCTATTCTTTTTGAACTACTGGCTTAATTGAAAGATCTCGATTTCATGAAACAGTTTTATATTTCTTTTTTATTTTGTGTGTGTGTGTGTGTGTTTTTTTTTTTTTTTTTGTGTGTAATTTTTAATTTTTTCCCTCTTAAAAAAAGGCACTTGGTACTGAGTCTCAACAGTTGATGGGTGGGGCTGGGAACTCTACTTCTTTGGCACCAGATATTCCAAACATGGGAGACCAAACTTTCAAAGTAGGAAAGCTCTCTGTTGAACAGAGGAAGGAAAAGATCCACAGGTACATGAAGAAAAGGAATGAAAGGAACTTCAGCAAGAAAATAAAGGTTATGTCCCTCTCATCACTACCACCATTTATGCATGTGAAACATGAAATGTTTGAGTTGTATTTTAGCCTTCATGATGCTAATGCTACAAGGGAAAAAATGGCAGTACGCCTGTCGGAAAACGCTCGCGGACAGCCGGCCGCGAGTTAGGGGAAGATTTGCCAAGAATGATGACTTTGGAGAGACCCCAAGAGCAGCATCTAGCAACCATGAAGAGGATGATGAAGAAGAGGTAAGATTTATTGTCCATCTTAATAGGAGAAATCAGTAGTAAGACACGAAACGAAAGAAAAATTTACTTGTAAGACACGATTCTAAACTGTTACATCATTATAAAATCTGAAACATGTCAGATTAAAAATAGTATGTCAGTTTAACTGTATTTGATGAATATTTATAAATAACTATTACGCCTCATAAAAAAACACAGTAGGGCTCACACGTAGTCCGAACCTTTGATATCAATTGGTCCATAACAGTGTCTACTGGTAGGTCGAGAAGGCATCGTCTTAATGTTGTCTACGATGGGACAACTTTCATGTTCTTTGAAATCATCGAATTTTGGTCAACCATTTTTCTTGTTAACTGTTTTACAGGTTGTTGTAAAAGAAGAGGATGATATGGTTGATTCCTCAGACATTTTTGCTCATATAAGTGGAGTGAACTCCTTCAAGTGTAACTATCCCATCCAATCTTGGATTTGATTTCATTTTAGCTTCTTGGATTAGAAACATATCTACGAACCCTGTTTCAATCAGGACTGACTTGTGTCTCCTGGTTTAATAAAATAAGAATAAGGGGGTCGTTATATATATTTATACATACATAAAAATTGAGTCACACTTATATTATATGTATAAAGTGAATAACAAATTTTGTAGATATCCTCATAATGTATCAATTTCAATATATTTATATATATTTGCTGTTCAGTCCTTATAGTGTACCAATTGCCAAATTTTACATTATTGAGACTTAAAATACTTGCAAAACTATCCTATATGTGCCTGGGGCATCTTTTTGAGGATATAGATGAGTTATTTATTTTATTTATATTTTAATAAGAACATTAATATCACTGGCTTTATTCCATATTATTGTCACAAAAAAGAAGAGAAACAAAACGTATAATGCCAAATAAGTCTACATTATGTTTGCTTTAATTATGTAATTCATCCAAGATCAATTTGATTATGATATTACCAACAAAAAGGGTAAAAGACAAACTGAGAGACAAAAATGTCAAGGCTGGTTATTGTGAGAAATCCAAAAAAAAAAAATGAAACAAAAAGACAGCACAAGATAACAAAAATATGCATGTTTGGATTATTTATTGGAGATGAATCCTGGAGAAAAGACGAAAATGCAAAGGCTGTTATTGCAAAAGAAACGCAAAGAAAAAGAAAAAAAAAATACAGAAAACGAAATGGCAAAAAGGGAAAGCCAAAAAACAGAACACAAAATTAACCAAAAAGGAAAGAAAGAGTAGGGCCGGCAATATGGGTCACGACACGACAACATGACTCGAAAACGACACGAATTTCACGGGTTAGGGTTGAGAAAAAAGAGGTACAGGTCAGAATTTGGTCGACCTACAATTGACATGAAAAACACGGGTCAATTTCGGGTTGGACCCGCCTAATCCGAACACGACATGAAACTCGTAAAAAACTAAAAAATACATATATCTTTTTCATTACTTATTTTGATTTTATTATGAACTTATGATATCATGATAGTTATACTCAAAATCTTATAGTATTATTTGCTTAATTTCAATGGATGTTATTGTATTTTAGTGTGTTATGAATTTTAAGTTATTTTTAATATGTAAAAAACTAAATAAAAATATACAATTTTCGTGTCAATTTCGAGTTCACGGGTCAATTTCGTGTCACGGGTCATTTTCATGTCGTGTCAACCCGTAAAGTGGTCGTGTCGTGTTCGTGTTGTGATTTTTAAAAAATTTCGTGTCATGGGTCGTATTCGAGTTGACTGTAAATTTAGAAAGAAATGATCAAAATACGACACGAACACGACACATGACATGAATTGTCACCCAAAGAGTAAAAGACAGGACAATCTGGTTTACTCGTGCAATGCAATACACCATCAAAGAGTGACATATAGAGGTCCATACTACTGATGATATATTTTGGGTTTGCCGCATTGAAAGTGACCCCAAAATTACTAACTGAAATTGAAAGTGAAATGATAAAACTATAGTAAGAAAATGGAATCTTTCCCTTAATTCACCTTTTATTAGTTTTGTTTCATTTTTGTAGAATTCGGTCATGTGATATATAATGAGAGAAAATGAAGGTAGAATTGTTATAGTTGTTGGGCAGCGGAAGCTTTAAACGCGCAATAAATTCAAAAGCTCTCCCGAGCTCAATTTCTCCCGAGTCTAAATATGCCTAAGGCTAAATTCGCCGGAGCCCAAATTCGCCTAAGCCTATTCGTCGGAGCTTAAGTTATGAGCCCAAGCTTTCTCGAGACTAAGCTCACATAAGGCCAATCTCGTCCCGAGCCCAAGCTCGCTAGATCCCAGGCTCGCCTGAGCCGAAAGTTCATAGGTCACGTGATGTCATTAAGTAAAGTAACTGACGCTAATTGAAAACTTGAATGATTAAAAATTAATTCTCATTGATTATTTATCAGTTTTAACTCACAAAAAGGTGAAAACCTCATTGTAATTAAGAGAAAATAAACTCTCGAATTAATGGGAGAATTAAACTTCCTTAGTCCCAATATACTATAAATTCCCTTAATTAGAGAGAGAAAGGGGGGCACTCAGTTCTGAATACAATTGCTTTGTGACTGTTTTCATTTTGTTTTTGTTACTCTTTCAGAGATTCTTTGTGTTCTTCGAGTGTTCTTCCAGTTTTCTTAGATAATTTACTTATTCAATCTGAATTATTAGTCTATGGACGTTGGATAAGTGTTGGATAGAATTTTGCTCCAACAATAGTATTTTAAAAATTAAAAAGTGCATAAATTTCTATGTCTAGATTTTCCCTATATAATTTGGTGATTCGGAAAGGGTTGGACATGGTAGATTTTCAAGGAAACAAAATTATTATAACTGGTGTTCTTACACTTTGGGGTTATTCTCAGTTTGCTTTATAAACTTTAAAAACTCACAATTTGCCTTCTAAATTTTAAATTATACCCGTTTAACTCCTTCTGTTAGAATTTTTATTAAAAATACATAGAAAAAGTGAGAGTAATACAATCACGTAGTCTTTCTGTTTGAGCAACTATTAAAAGAAAACGAATAAAAACCATATCATGACTACACGTAACTCTTTTTAGGTCTGATTTTAACAGGAATTTTTGCAAAGGGGCTTGAATAGGTAGTAATTCAAAATTTAGGACGGAAAGTGAGAGATTTTAAAATTTAAGAGCAAAGTGAGAATGACCCTAAAATTCATGGGCACCAATGAAATTAATTTGAGAAAAAAAAAATTGCAAAACTTTTGCGGAGTGGAAATCGTAAAAGATGACTTTTTTGGTTAATCTCACATCTGCTTACTAAGATAGAAGTAATTGATAAATCTCATAGTCATTGAGTCATGTTTGTTTTATAAATTCAAACTACTATTTAAATCTTTTTATTATAGTATTTTTTTCATAAAATTTAAATTTCTATTAATGACATTGCATAAGGAAATGTACGGTTTTTTAGCTAAATGGTCCTACAATAGTCATAAGTAATGACATTGCATAAGGAAATGTGCCGTGTTTTAGCTAAATGGTCCTAATAAAAGTAGAATTACGTTACGTGACAAAACTGATGCACATCTACGTTAGTGACGACGTTTTGATCACCAACCATGTCACCATGATATTCGACAATTTTTTTTTAGAAATGATGTGTAAAATATTTCATTATTTTTAATTGCACTTGCATTTTGCTAAGTCATAATAAGTCATGTCCCGTCATTTAAAAATTTTAAAATGCTTCTTAATTGATTTTTTTTTCACGTTTTAATGTTTAAGTCATTGAATTTAATATGACAAAATTCCTGAAAATTAATATGACAAAAAATGATTAGTTAGACATAATCTGAAACACCGAAATTGAACAATCGATCTGAATTCATGTTATGTCAATCTTTGACATTGAGTCCAACAATGTGTTCGGCTCAGTGGAAAATAACACGAAAAGGGGACTATTAAAGGGGACTATTTTGCTCTCCATTACAATGTGAGCATGACTGAAAGGGAATTAAAAAGAAGTTTTAGGCCACGTTTGTTTCATACGTTTAAATCTATTATTTTAATTATGCCATGATGTTTTTCTCTTATAAAAAATTTAAATTTTAAATATTAGAATTAAGAATCACTTATTTAAACACATGAACTAAACGTGTCTTTAATAATTTTTCATTTATTCCTCTTTCAATTTAGACTAATTTTTTTGCACGCGCGTTGCAGCGGAAAAGATTGTTGTATTATAGAGGAAGTCGGGAGTTTTTACATTATAGTATTAATTTATATATATATATATACATACATACACAGCTAATACGTTTTATTAGCTGATTTATAATTGTCACTATTGTGGTTGCCTATTAATTTTTCATAAAATGAAAAACACCAATTGTAACAACACAGTAACACAAAAAATGATAAAGTGTGACTATTGTGGTTGTTATTGTTGGTTATTCATAAAATGAAAAACATCAATGGTAACAACACAATAGCACAAAAAATGATAAAAAAAAGTCAACTGAGCTGCAACAAATTGTTCACAGAAAAAGATATAACAAAAGGAGCGCAAAGAGTAAATCCAGTAAAACATCGTACTAACTATAATAACCCAACACATATTTTTATCCAAATAAAAATGAAAAAGAACAGAATATGCGGGGAAAACAAAGAAGGGATAAAATAAAATTTTTGTAGAAAACATTAGGCTAGATCAAAATCTAAATAGGATAGGTTTATTTACAATAATGTTATGACAGTTTATATAAAACTTAATATATCAAGTTTCTTGTTAATCATCATTGCCACAAAAAGTTTATACATGACTAATAAGCGAATGAGCCAAAGGTCAAAAACTTTAGCAATATATGCTAATAGAATAACAAGATTTAAAAGAAAAAAAATAAAAAAGAAACAGACACAAATTAATGGTTTTTATCAAGAAGAATAATAAAGGATAAAATAGACACGTTAATATCATGAGAAAAAATCATTACATTAAGAATCAACCATGGATATTAAACTGTTATAGGGAAAGGCTATCTTTAATACCTGGAACATAATAAACCATATTTTAAAAATGAAACAACGTGCACTCAAACGTCAACAGAGACTAAATATACCCACACAAGTAATAATATGTATGCACTAAATAACAGTATATCAAAATTAGTAACAATTAGTAAAATCAATAATCATGTAATAAAGTCAATTCGTTTTAGATGAAAGAATAAAAATTGGAGAAAAAACAATAAAAGCAAGAGAGAGAACAAATGAAGAAAAGAACTGGAAAAAAGTAGAAAATAAAGCAATAGTGATGCAAACAATTATATAGATATATTCATATATATTTTGAGATCCAGTAAGGGAAAAAGAAGACTAATATAGGTATAATAAATAAACTTTCAATGAAAGTATAATTGAAACAAATCAAAAGGATCAAAATACACAAAAAGCAAAAAATAGATAGTGTTGAATAATATTATTAAATATGTAGATAATGTTGTACAATGAACAGTAAT